GCTCGATCAATAGGTGGTACTAAGTGTGTAGTAATTATAGCGTTAAATAAACTTGTAATTACGATTTGTAATATTTAGTGTGTTCCTCAATTTACATATGACTATTGTGGAACGTGAATGATGACATTCCTACATGATAAAACTAGATATCGGTATGTCGATACACAAATATTTTGATTAATGTTAAATTTATTAATTATTGTATATGATGATCGTTCCTATATATATTAGATGTAAAAGACTCGATAATTACTGCAGTCATGACTTAAAGAAATTTACTATTTTCTCTTGTCCATTATTTAATAAATAGTAAGTTAATATAATTGATAAATATTCGACACAAAATCTAGAGACACGTAGTGTCTCGGCGCTAAGCCAAGCGCATTATTTTAACATTGAATTTATTAATATATATATACTAAGGGAAAATACATTTCTTTCAATTGTTTGTTTCTGATTAATTTTTTAATAAATGTATAGGAAATTATATCACGAAAGTACGTATGTTACATAACTTTAATATAGAAGATATTAAAACTTTGCCATATATTTGTTTTCAAATATTTATTATGATCTTTCTTTTCAAATATTTAGAACTGAGCAATGCACACGTGAATGTTTTGATATGCAAACTGCACCAATTGTGGTCGTATATATCGTATTTAAATATTCATATATAATGTACCAAATATTCATATATATAATGGGTATGCTGTATAGGCATAATATTTTACTTTAGATTTGTAGATAACGAACAAAAAACTTTATGATAAATAAAATCTTTGAAATTGACGCGTTTTGATTCGTGTCTCTTATTTTTTATTGTAACATTTTTCTCTAATATTTCATCTGATTTTTAAATTTAAATTTTCGAATCCATGTAATTGCTGTTAAATTGGCAAAAGTGATGTCAGTTACCGATAATCGTGAAATTACAAGCAATTGTCGATAATACACACTGTATTATCAACATTACACTATATAATTTTATTTAAGCACTAGATGTCTCTGCGTACACTATTCTTCTTTCTACATATAATATTTAAAAAATTAATAAAAAATTTTATTATTTGGCTCTAGATAGATGTATATGTACAATAATCTGATCAATCGAATACGTCCACTTTTACAATTTATATATGATAAAATAATCAAAAAATAATTAACTAAACCGCAGTAACAAAATTAACTTATACATATACTGATGAAAACAATTTTACATATTTAATTGTATATTAGAAGAGTTGATCTCAATTTAGTTTTATAAATGCGAAATCAACAAACCTCTGTGACACTGATTGTTTTGTTTTCCACCTTTCATTATTGCGAAAATGCAGTCTGGCAATCTCTCTCTCTTTATTAATTCTTTCATTGTTAATTATATCCACATCGTGCATTTAAAGCAGAGTGGTTTAATGACCAAACAAGTGGAAGATGATGCGAATCTCGCACTCTGTATTGGTTTTATACCGACTGACAGAGATTAATCGTACATAATTGACATAATATGGGCGCATTTACTTAGTATTTTTACAGCGAAGAACAGGTTGGCGGATTTTCTCTCTTGCGACAAAAAGTAAGGATATGCAAATTATTAATAGGACTCTCGAGTGGTTCACATCATCATGTGCATAAATGTACGATACAAATCAGTGATTATGATAAATCGGGGTTCCTTGAAAGAGAAGAAACAATTTATCATTCATGCTTTTTCCCATTCATAATTTTCGCCTTTTTCTTGAGATTTAACTTTGAGATTAATCTATTTATTCGTAGTTCAACTTTCTGTGTACTGCAGCACGATGAAACTTTAGTTCCAAAGGTTTTTCTTCGTGAACTTATATAGCAAAAATTGTTTTGTATCTTAAAACATTAGGTTTATTAATATTAAAACCATTTTCCATTTTTATCGTGTCGTATTTTAACGATCTTTTTGAACGTTTAAGTTTAGAATTGTTTGTTTTTTTTTACTTTACCTTTGAAAAATTGAGATATATTAATAGCTTTTATGTTTTATCTTTATATTGCATATTGATTTTACTCGGATGTGTAATTGCAGGTTGGATAATAATATTTAAAATCGATCTCTTCAATTATCTTAAAAATACAGTTTCAATCACAGATAATTGGATAATTCTAGTTGCGAGACACTGCGCGTGCTATATGTATATATATATATATACATATATCATGGTGAACGTGTAATTGGTATAGTATATTGCAAAAATTGTTTTGCATAAGATAGACACGTATAAAGATAGACATACCTCAAAACATGCGATAAACAAGATACCACATTACGTAAAATTATATTCGCGGATTGTAATTTGCATTTTCGTCGGGTATTTTACGTGATTCTTTTACATTGTTTTGTTTGCCAATTTAAAGATGTCGATCCCTGATTCAAATTTTACATTCAATTGCAATGAACAGAGTAGGATTTCAATATGTCTTTCTCTCTTATTAATTCCGACGTTAATACCACAAAAATCTGAAATGAAATTACATGCTGATAAGTAACGACGGTTCACCGACAATGGCGAGTCGAATCGCTGGGAAGCACACGAGAGAGAGAGAGAGAGAGAGAGAGAGAGAGAGAGAGAGAGAGAGAGAGAGAGAGAGACACCATGGCAATTTAAATAAATTAACGAAGTTTGAGCGTATCCAGTACTTTCATCAAATTAAAGAAAAGGAAGGAATACTTGAACAAATCCTCCATGCGTAATTGCGATTAATGAGTATTTTTATCAACGCTCGTAATTTTTGTTTTCCATCAATAGCTGGATGCATCCAGATTGTGTCAAATAGATGTTGGATATAATTAAAAATTAATTTTTATTTTGAATCAAGATAACAAAACTGAACATCCTCTCTCTCTTTTCTTACAGAATTAATTGAATTTATTTTAGAAACATATATCGAATTAATCGGTTTAAACTTAAACGTAAATTATTTTTTTTGCTTTACCTCTTTTAAGATGATATTTAGAAGATTAAAAATAAAACAGAACATCAATTAGATTAATAAAAATTGGAAACCATTTTATCGAAAAATACATATATGTGCGTAATAGTTCTAAGTCAGATAATTATTGCTCATTTAACTTGACTAAAATATATGGACATTCGTTTTTACATCGTGCAATGCTTAATTTATTGCTCGAACTGCTAAATCGACGCAATCCTATACGTGATCCGATCCGCGATACGATCTCTCGATATACTTCGGTACCGTACGGAAGATCATGTAAGAAGGGAAAACAAGGAGAAGATACGATCATCTTGAAATTTTTCAAGTATGAAAGGGTGCCGGGAAACGTCACCGCTGCACTTCGAGACGATCGATGTCTTGCATCGTATTAGTCGCAATAATCCTCATGTATTTTTTAGACGTGCGCAATCGGTTTATACATCGGTATGAGAAGGATAAGTCGTATAATTATCGATAACGTTACGTAACGACAGACGAGTTCCTTTCAACTTTGTTGAATAGATCTATAAGAAGAATCGTTGTGGAATCAACGTACAATAGCAGCTGTTAGAGTTTCATTTTGTTAAAATTGACATAAGAAAAATTAAAAATTGTACTACTTTATATTTTAACAAGATATAGGATAACTATCTCTATTAGTGCCTTTATATTCAATAACAAGCCAACTAGCTTATTACTGAATTAATTGTTAAATATTGTAGCTTTAATTTTGCCTGTTTAGAATCAGTATCGGTTTTTCAACTATTTCTTTTTCTTATAATATTTTTTAATCTAAAAATTGTTAATGTTTTATATTTGTGATAAACACATGCATAAAGAAAATGTTTTTGTCCCTATTAATGTGCCATGCCTATCCACATTTGACTCATTTTAACATATAGATAATTATTGAAACAGATAATAAATGTAAGCTAATGTTTAAGTTAATATTGTATAAATCATTATTTTAATTATACTTACAATTTCAATGTATGTATTTCATAATACAATATTCTCAGCTTCAATAAAGGGCATATTAATAGGGACAAGCTTAAAATTTTGCGGTATTATTGGACTCACATAAATCCCTTTAAATTTGTAATATGTTATCTTTCAAAAAATGTTTACTATATTTTAATTAAAAAATAGAATATTATCTGTGGTATCGTATACATTAGTAATTTAACTTAATAAAAAAATATCTTCTCTTGTTTATTTGAGCTAATTTTATTTACGGCTCATTCTCTCTCTCTCTCTCAAATACTAGGCACTCTAATATATATATGAACAGATACATAATATAGAAATACCCTGCATGTATTTTTCTTCAGTTACTCTATACATATATATATATTTCTTTATAATTACTTTACATATAGATTTCCCTTCTCAAATATTTTGAGTAATTAATCTCGAGAGAGAGAAAGCATCGTTCTTTTAGTATATACATACATATACAATAAATTAAGTTTCGTAGCATCTGTTTGTAGCAATTTTAATGCTCGATACTTCTCGATGAATCCGAATCCGATTTCTCCTTAATTAGAATCGAGGTATCGATAATTTAATTTCTACGTAGCTTCTCCCAATAAGCAAGGTAAGTCGTTAGATTTTCCGATAGTTAAGATAAAGTAATTTACATCGCGCTTATAAGAAGGGGAGATTGGCGTCACGACGCAGCGGACTAAAAATCGCGTTAGTCACTTCCGTTGCGTTGGTATCTCTCCGTATCTCGCGTACGCGCGCGCAAGAGAGAAAGAGAGAGAGAGAGATCCTCATCGTCATTGCAATTTCACGCGTCACAGCGTCACTTTCCAGGCTGATTGCTCTCTATCTCTCATTCTCGCGCGCGTGCAAACGCTATATACCTTTCCATTCCCAATAATAAACCCGCTGATCGACGATAGTTTCGCAATTTGGCTCGCGCACGTACTCCTCGATTCTCTTTCCACACTGTATCGTAGAAAGTGTAGCAACGTTCGGCAACATGTGTGACTCACGCGGTGCGGCGCGGGCGATCGCATCCGACGATGGAATTGCCCGCGCCCGCGCCGCGGCCGGCTGCAAGACTGCAAAGACCCATCACGGATTGCCGATTCCCACGGCGTAAATCTGTGTCGCAATTGCGATCCCGCAATAATATGAGCGTTAGGGAAATTCAGAAAGAATGCGCAGTATACATAAATATCACGCATTGTCAGCGCTGTCAGAATTAATCAAGCTCGAAGCTGCAGATGTATGTATATCGATATTTTAGCGATTGTCTCTTCAATTTTCCTTCTCTAAATCTTCTATCTTTACAATTTAATTTTATTAATTTTATTAAATAGCAATTAACTAATGACACAGCTGAGCCATTATTAATTTTGAGTATATAAGCCAGAAAGAATTCGTTAGTATATTAGTGCGATAAATTTTAATAGTTAATTTTATTAATTTCATTAAATAATGATTAACTGGCATTATTAATTCTGAATAAACCAGAAAAGCTTTTGTTGCTAATATGTTATTGCTACTAAAAGAAATACCAAATTTAATAAATATTTGTTTAAATAGTTCCAAGTAAATATTTACTAAATGTATAAAACATACATTTATGTGATACAGAAATTATCAATTTAATTTAACTATCATTTCTTATTAAATAAGTATTATTTATTTTAAATAAGTGTACTTACTACTATTCAAAGAAGAATATTTAGATTTAATAAATTTTTTTTCAATACATTAATGATAAACTTTTCCCAGCTTATATTCGCAAGAGGTCGATCATGTAATTCTTTTTCCCCCGAGCGAAAATATGAAAATTTTTTATATATACTTACTATGTATAAACAAAAAAATTTTCTCTTTTCACGTTTCCGCTCCAGAGAAAAAGTTACACAATCGATACCCTGTATAAATAATGACTCTATATCAATTAATCGTTATTTAATAAAATTAATAAAATTAAATTTTAAAGATAGAAATTTTTAATATCGATCACATAAAACCGTACTTACTTTATGAAGAGCCATTATTGCTTCTTTTGCTATGATAAATGTATATTTCTTGGAAGAAATATCCAAAAAAAAAACTATCTCTTTCACACGATTGTGATTATCAAATAATCATTTTAAGAATACATCCGATCTGTGGCCGTCATTCTCGAGATTAAATTAAACGGACGCAAGAGAGAGTACATGGACTGACTGAAAGAAAGAAGGTGTCGAAGAGAGACAGCAATAAGGAGTAATGCAGGAGCAAAAGGCAGAAAACACCGGTAGGCAGTTTTGTAGCTGTTTTTATCAGCTTCTGGGCATCGGGGGTCCAGAGGCCCAACCATGGCAGGACGCATCTTGGGGGGTTCGTGTGGGAACGTACGTCTCTTTAGCGTACCATCTCCCTCCTCCTCCCTCTGTCTCTCTCCCCTCTCCCTCCCCCCCTCTCTCTCTCCTCGTTCTCTCGCCATCTTCCCGTCCTTCTTCTCTTTCTCTTTGGCGAGCCCGCCTTTTTTCTCCATTTGGACCGGCTCGACGATTCGTTCCTCCCTCGCAACCACCTCCCTTCACTCCCTTCTCGCTCCTTTCGCGCTCCTTTCGCGCGCTCGTCCTCTTCATCGAGGCTAGCTGCCTTCGGGTACCACTTGGGTCATCAGGGTCACCCTCCGCGATGCACTCGCTACGACGTGGTATGCCCTATATTTACGCACGGTAAGAGCACCCTGAAGAGAAGGTGGACGCTCCACCTTCCTCTCTTCTCCAAGCACCACCGCTACGCTCTCCTTCCATCCTCATGTATATCGCGGCTGCTTCTCAATAAACGCCGATCGCGTTAAGATCAGCTCACAACGCGACCGCGTGCGAGAGGATCCTTTCCCTGTATTAGGATTGACAAAATCATGATTTTTCGCACGCTCGTTCATCGCCGAGCGCCTCGACGCTGCTTTATCATTTTTTTCATTCGTAAATATAGTTTTAAAAAATTGTTAGAAGTTGATCGCATCGTTCTTTTTAACGAGACGTTTTAAAATATTAAAATATTAATATTAATATTCTCCACTCGATTGGGTCATTTATGTCCTGGCACATTTTTTTCTTTGAAAAACTAGACGCATCATTTTATATACCATTTTTTTTAAATATACAACTTTATAAATACCTTCTAAAGATATTAAAGTATATGTAACAATCATTTAATAATTTTTATTAAAGTGATGAAAACTAACCTGGGACACAAATCTCATCGTGTATAATAAAGGAACGGAAAATTATCGTGTGTACTAGGGATTAATAGTGCATGCAATTAGACATTCTTTATATGTAACAAAAAAATAAAAAGGGAATTCTTCACTTTAATTGAGTATAAATATTTAAGCTCCGTGAGTTTAACTTGACAATTAAGACTTGGCTTTCGCAATCATGATTGGACGTTTTCTTTCGAAAAGCAGTGCAAGTGATAAAGTGATAAAGCGCGAATAGCGTAATAGGCGTGAAATTTACTCCTCTCGCGTCTAGCCGACGATCTTCATTATTTGCGTCAGTGAAGGTCCATGGACGGACGAGAGAAAAAGAGAGAAAGAAAGAAGAGAGGAAAAAAGTCAACTGGGCGCTGCATCGAGCTCAATCGTAACACCGAGGCGTGCGTTTCATAAATCAACGGGATTATTAAAAATCTGCACCGCGCGCACTATTAATTCGGATTGTGATAAAGCGTTAAGCGCGCGAGCGAAATAGCGAATGCTCGCAGCTCGCGGCGGCAAACGCGGCGCGGGCGCGTATTGTAAAGGGATTGCGACAGAACACCTCGCAAATGCTCGCAAAGGTTACAATACGAGCCGCAGTGGCGTGTTGTAACCTTTTGCGAGAACTGCATCGTATGTACCGCACGATAGATAATGGCTAGTACGATCGCTCCGATCGTAATTATCGTCGTTTCTGCCGACAGACAGAACACTCACAGCACGATCTCACGTATCTCCGCGGCGTAAAGTCGCTGATCACCAAAGCGTAGCTTCGGGACATGAAAATCTGGAAGCCGAAGGATATCTCGGAATAGTATGAGGATGTTTAAAAAAAAATCTTCATCGATATATCAGCGAATTGTTTCAAGTCTTTTTTAATTAAATATAATGAAGTAGCGCGTTAATTAGGGTTGGTTATACCAGCACGTAAGATTAATTTTAATCTCATTGTTAGTTCAACTTATAAATCTAATTCTTGCAACTAGAAAAAGATGAAGAATTACTTGAATTAGGATTAAAAATAAATTACATCTGTAGAAATGGGCGTGAGTCTTAAAATTAGAAAAAGATTAAGAGTAAATTAATTAACATCGATGATTGGTGGAACCGAGTCTTAATCGATCGATTTCCAAAGGGTAAAATTCTTGGAAATATGAATAAATACGAGAGTGCTATTAAACCAAGTACAGAGATATCGTTTAACATCCTTCAATTAAGGGATGATGAGTCCGAAGCCATAGAAAAAAAATGTAAAGAATTCTAGTAAATTTTACTAGAATACGAAATGAATGGTAGATTCATATAAGGATAGGTGCTTATTGCTTTAAAATTTACTTTATTTTTCTGGTATGTATATATACATATATATATAAATTAATGAGTGGTCATCGTATAACTATACCGAAAGTAAAGATACTTTTCACATTTCGCAAAATAAATTTTGAAAGATATATTTAGTCTTAATTGAGAACAGTACCATTTATTTTACTATAAGATAATAATAATTACTTGAATGGATTTACTATCACTGTATATAATGTACTTTTTATAATTCTAATATACTTTTTATCTTATATTTCCGGTATTTTTATTTTTAGGCAAGTAAAGTTTGTCACAAACTCTGGAAAAAATAGCCAGAGTATTTTTATTAGCCTCTAGTAAGATAAAAATTACTCATTCATTCTTCTCTATGCAGTGATAAATCCACAGAATAAATACTCGTAAATATTGGTATTTTTAAACATCAGGCGGGATTTTATATTTAATATTAATTTTGTGAGTTTTATTAATACTTGATCACTGTGAATTTGAACCAGTGATATTTATTGCAGAGAGAGAGAGAGAGAGAGAGAAAGGGGGGGAAGGAATAGTTTTTTATATAGTATTTGAACAGAGAGAAACTGAATCTTATTTTTCAGTGTGCACGAACCCTAAGTATGCTCCAGAGACTTCATGCGAGATACCACGGGGTGGTCGCAATACGCGAACGTTACAAAGATACGGGACGATGAAAAATATCCGATATCTCGAGCCAAGATCCTTCGAACAATGGGATATCTTCGGGACCGAGTCGGCCACGGTGGACAATTATTACCCGATTGCCGGAAGATAATGCTTCATCGGCGATAAAATAATGAAATAAAAATTTTCTGTCGATCGAATGAAAACACGTAAAAATTCCTCGATAATGGCTTAACAGCAGTCTATTATTTCCATCTCCTGCATAAAACGAAAAATTAACTTGCTCGTATCGAAGAAGGCTTGCTATAAATTAAATATAAACTTATTTAAACTTGATAAACTTGAAAACACACGATATAACGTAATTGTATAATTCCTTCTTTTCATTGTTACTTTTGTAACGAAATTTTTTTCGAAAAAGTCAAAATAATATTAATTTTAAAACCTTATCTATTAGTTTAATACTAGAAGTCAATTTGACTCCTCGTGAAATTCAAACTTTATTTCCACATGATATTCTTTTGTAACTTTTCATCATTTTTCATGTTCTTAATTACAGTAAACAATTTTCCAATTATACATATAAAATGATTGAATCTTTATTTCATTTTATTTAAGGAAAAGGAAACACCAAATCTTTATGGCAATTACTGTAACAAATATGTTTAATTTGATTCAATGTATGCAATCATGATTAATTATGTCGTTGCTAAACAAGAGAAATGAATTATGGAATGAGTTCCCTGGCGCGAAAAAGCTAACCGCCACTGGTGCGCGTCTGCAGTCAGATCAGATACTCTCACAGGGTAGCGTAAGTGCCATTGCACTTTCGCGGTCTTGCTTCTTTCTTTTCTGACGTAAATCCTGCTCCCTTTTTTCCCTTCGCCCATGTTTCCTCCTTTCTCTTTTTCTCGCAGCTGAACGATGTGGACAAATTGGTCGAACGAACGTCACCAGACCTTCCCGGCATTTTTGTATCTGCCACCCTCTACGTTTCCCACACGATCTTCTCCCTCTTCGCCATACTCGGGGATGTGCAAAACCTCTTTCCGAGACTCTTTTTGGTGAATGCGCTTTCTCCGTTGAGTTCCGTCACACACTATGACGCAAACGCGCATTAACACGCAAACTCGTCCGACGTCGTCGTCATTCGAATAGAGTGAACTACATCTGATTGCATGCAAGGCTGGGTAATCATTTAAAATGCCAAATATAAAATACTTAAAAAAATGTATTTAAAATGCAAAATGTTTTTCAAATCCACTTTATATGTAAAATGAGTAAATAGAATTTTAAATAGTTTTCAAATGCAGAATGGTTTTCCTTACATATATTTTAATATACATTTTTTTAAGTATTTTACATTTAGCATTTTAAATAGAATTACATTTTAAATGGCATTTCTAATGCAAAAATACCCAGCCCTGATTGCATGTAAATATACATTGAGAGAAAAAAAATGGTTACAATCACCATAATTTTAACTATAATTTACACTTATTTTTGATACAACTACAAATAGTTATTTAACTATGCAAATATAGTCAATTGTGCTATTAACAATAGTTACACGCATTGCTTAAAAATCTTTCTTAACATATTTTTTTAGTTATTATTACAACGTAAATAATAAATGAATTTAGAAGAAAATAGTTATATTCACTGTAATTGCGATTACATTTACTAAATAAAAAAATGTTTATTTACCATTTATATTTAATATTTTACTATACTAATATTTGAAATTATCATAATTTATAGTACGTTTTTTCATGTTTGAGAGAACTATACGTACATGGTTATTATTATTATAAACATTATAGCAGTAGATAATAATCATAAAAATGGAACTCCTAATTAGTATTAATAATTATTTTACCAATGTAATTATCACATGTAGTAAACACTTTTGTGTGTGTGTGTGTGTGTATCTCAGTATAACATCTAATACATCAATATAAGTAATACGGATTAGTTTAAACAAAGAGAATCGCAAATAATGTTATTTGAATGTGACATCCCTAGCGAAAATAAAAATCAGAGCGTAAGTCGAATATACATATAAGGTATATAAGAATATAAGAATATACATATAAATATATATATAAGGGGAGAGTAACACAAGCGTAAACAAAACTTCTAGAAGGCGAAAATTGAAACAATAAAATGTAAAAAATGCTTCTTAGAAGTTTCGATCGTTGACGCTTAATTTTATTACTCTGCCATTACATTGGACTTACGCTCCGATTTTTATTTTCACCAGGGATGCACAGCGACAACATAACTAATTCATTAACTTTTTTCAGAGAAACGTGTAAAAAATGCGTTACGAAACATTTTCTTGGTAAAGGTACGAATATAACACTCAACTTTATATACCAATAATAACTTTCATCAATGACAGATTTAGCGGCGCGTCACGGCACGTCCTTCATTGAGACGCATCTCGAAGATTATACGTAATAAGCACGCAGAACGTCTATAAAAGGCGTCCAAATCGATGAGATCTATCAATACAGTGACCATACTTAGAGAAAATAAAAAACAAACCTGAAATTTTTAGGATTTTAAATATTTCCAAACTAAAATTTGACTCTCAGAAGTTTGCGCATTAATTAAAAAAAATTTTCTTGCACAATATGTCTGAGATAGCTCCCAAATAAAATACAAGTTATCATAACGTTAAAATAGCTACAAATTTAATTGTTAAATATCATTTTTGAATCAATCACGACTTATTTTGACATCATTTTGATGTTATTGTGACTTTGTTACTCTATTGTTTGGGCAAATATGTAGCTCTTGCACAAAAAGATTAAATTTGTCGATAGTTTCCGTAAAAGTTCGCTCATTAATATATTAGACATTGCAACGCTATATTATTAGAAAGGGGAATTTCCCGTAATATTATTAAAATAAAGGATAAAATAAAGTTTTGAAGAAATAAATCAATCTAAAGGATATCTACCTGAAATGAAGGACTGTTCTTATACCGTTATAATAAAGGACGTATAGTCACCGTACCGATTGGGAACCTTCAAAGGACGTTTTTACGCAAGCGGCAGATCGCGCAGATCCGGAAAACGCCTGTCCTGGAATTCGTTTCACAATACGAGCGACATGCAACGCGCGCGCGCGCGCGCGCCTCGCCATCGCCAAACCGTCCCGCGAGCGGACAGACACACAAAGGGCTATTGTACCAATCTTTTTCTTTATATCTTTTTTTTCCTTTTATCCCGTAAAGCGTGTCGCGGATCTAATCGCCCACGCGAATGTGCGCGAATGCCTGCGCGTTCTCGCGAATCGCTATCGCGAACGGCGGGGAAAAGCCGAGCCGCGCCGGGAGTCCGATTTCAAGGAACGCGTTACGCACATGCGAGTTATTTACTGTCGTATCAAGGTTCAGCGCGGGACGTCTGGCAATAAAAAAAACGTAGGCAGTAAGACGTAAGCAGTAAGCGAATCGGCCAATCACAGTAGAGAATTACTTTATACGTTCTCTATTGTGATTGGCTGATTCGCTTACCGCTCAAGTCTTATTGCTTTACGTCTTTTTATGTGTTTCTAGCTAACGCCCTAGACACTCCGGCTTTGAACTAGGTGCACACTTTACTTACTTACGCACAGTATATAAGAATGCATTTTTTTCTCGTTTAAGAATTGAATGTCTCGTTTGTTTTCACTAACTCCGATCGATAAAAAGCGCCACCGGAGCATTGTGTGTCCTAAGTTATACATATACCTTCACGGAGTTATGGCTCAGATTCTGATCTTCTATTGGAGGACATTGTTTGAAAGTAATAGAATTATATTGATGCACGTGTGTGTGTGTGTGTGTGTGTGGACAGGATGCAGTTAAGAGTGCGTGACGCACGTAGCACTTGCTCTCAACCTCTGACTTATGGGAGCGCTGTGTCTTAACTTCGAAATAATAAACACGTGTGTTCTGACATTTTTATTTGTATCTCCTGCACACGTAAGAGCACCTACAGCTACCACATACCATTTATATCTATCATCGCGCCATAAAATAGTTACACCACCAAATACTACCGCGGTAAATATAATTGCAATACGCTACGCAATGGGATGAAAAACAGGATTTCATCAACATCTGAAATCGAATAAACATGTCAAACGTGCCGCGTCAATAATCTTTAAATGAATTTTAATTGCAAGAGAAAATAGATATTTTAATATTATTGTCTCTAAAGTAATTCATTGCCACGGCGATAATACACTGCAATAAAATTAAATAAAAAAATAATACGAAATTACACGAAATAATAGATATTTTTTCTTTTCTCAAATATAAATGTTATATCGTACTGAAAACTATGAGAATGTTAGACTACAATTTTTGCGAAAGCACCTAGATACAACTAGCGAATCGTATGGAAAAATGTTTATTCAGCGCGCATCTCCAACATACTTTTTTCTCTTCATGCTTTACATTCCGTCGCCGTCTGTAAGAATGATTGAATAACTAAATACATAATTTTTCGCTACGCTACAGTACGCGACAGGCTCTCTAATAAGAGTCAGGATACGAAACAGTCACTTTTGACTAGTCCGCCATGTTTTAACAGTTTCTGAAAGAGAGAAAGAGAGAGAAAGAGAGGAAAAAAAATAGAACCAAAAGAGAAAGAGAGAGAGGAACGACATTTATTCAAAGCATCCCAGGATCATTATCCTCTAAAAACAGAAAATTTATTATTTTATTATAAAAAATTCTTTGTCATATAATCGCTAAGAATTTAAATAAAGAGATATAATGATATTGATAATGAAGACTATGTAGTATATATTGTAAGTAAAAGAAAGAAACAAAACATTGATACAAGTTCATAAGCAAATATATATACATATACACATATGCACATATTATATAATACATATATATCCGGTAAAAAAATTTCTCATGCATGAATATGTACAAATATGTATAAACATAAATAAATATTCATAAACATATATAATCATATTTGAAATATGTCCATAAATGTTCATACATCCCTCTTTCTTTTGTAAAATTAGTTTTTAGTGTAATAGAAATAATAATAGTAATATGAAAACATAAAAAATAATTAAAGGGAAATTTTCGCATTGTTCGTTTTAGAAAACAACAAGTTTGGAAACATATTTAAAAAA